TTTACATAACGTCCCAACTGGAATTTGGGTTGTAGAATAGCCTTATATTTATTATTAACAACTGGCTAGTAGCTGCTGGACTTTGGAAAGAGAAAAAAGAACCCTCACTTGAGTGGTGCTGCTGATCGATCCATTTTCTTTATTACTTAATCTGTTTAATTGGAGAAGTGCAAGAAAAAAGACAGATGGAAGTATTTCATTTGGTGGATATTTGAATATTTTATTCATCCTTTGGATTCCTAGAAAACAGCCTAAATAACAACATATTACATCACATTTGAAGGTTATTATTTGATGATTTTTTACAATGTTTGTTTTCTTTCGTTATAGTATTTGGGTGTGTCTTGCTTAATGCTGATGATGGCTTCTCTCTTAGCTTACGTGTCTGTTCCTTGGAAATGTTGCTAAACTTGAATTGCTTGTTCTTCGGGAGCTTAGGCAGTTAGTCAACAGACAGTGTATTGTGCATTAGTTTGACTGACAGCTACTAGCATTGCACTTCAGACTCACTGCGTTTGAGCCTGGAGACACAATAGGCTTGATGTGAGTGTTAATGTCATTGTAATAAAAGAGATAATGGCTGTTGTGAGCTTCCAGATGATTCCCCTGTGGTAACCGTGGGCTTTGTTCGAGCTTAAAGACAAGTTCAGATTTGCTACTGTGACATTTCAGGGTCTGAGGCCGGCTGCTTCGGTGGGTTTCTTCATAGCCAAGTCGCTGTAACCACAGATTGTTTGGGTGCATAATTGCAGTAGGTTTCACATGTTCACTTTCAAATTAATATGTGTGAAGGTGTAAACTTATATTTGTTAATATCCTGAATTGGACTGCACTTCCTATTCACTACATTCCCATAACAATCCTTGTCTACGGCTGTTGTTGGTATCCATTAGTATGCTTCCTGTAACTTCAAATGCTTAGTCATAAGGTGACTTTGGTCCTTATTGCAACTTTTATTAGTAGTTAAACCCTGGCTCTAAGATGCACTCTCCAAAGTAACTCCAGGCTATGAGCCACTTAGAGATCATTTGCTGTAAGAAGGCAGGGGAGATACAATACCATGGGACAGGTGGGGAGTGATAGAGGAGAAGTGAAGATAAAGATGCCACTGGAAAGCTGCCCACTTCTGTCCACACAATGACACAAAAATCACCAAAAAAACCTAACAGCAATTGGGTACTTTTTATAGGAAGATCACTATTTCAGAAGAAACTTGCTTTGTTCACTTCTGCCTCACTTTACCTAAGGGCCAGTCAGTAGTTGCAAAAGATTACACTGCTTTAAATGGTTCCCAGGGTATGAGTAATACTGTAGTGGTGATAATCATAATCACAGTTGTGTAATCTTATGAGGCTTTTGTTGCATATGTGTGATAGTATCTCTCATACAGTTCAACAATCCCTCTGAGTATGAATTATTCACACTCAACCGAACTGGCCCATAGTTCATCATCCATTTTTAATGGTTGGGATTGTATACTCCTAACTGCAGCTTTCTGTTCGCTAATGGAGCTGTTGAGCACAACTTCAGACGCTAGCCTCCGGTAAACATGTGATTGACGATTGATGAAACCATGTGTGATCACTGACCAGGCTCGCGGGATATTCTTCAGAGACTCTTTCGGTTTAATTGTACACAACTGAGGCGTTTGTTGTGTTAAAATTACAGATGAAAATGTTTCTTTCTTAAGGTTCACCCTCTATGTGATTATGATGATATCTTGAAGTCATTCTTTCCATCCATTCACGCTGGGCTGTTGGGGCTATTCCAAGTGTATCTTATTAAATATAAATAATGTACCAGTGTTTTTCTCAACAGATTTAAATATGTCAATCGACTGTGTTTTGTTTTTGTCTTGCAGGTTTACTTGAAGATTTCCGCATCAGAGTTTGAAATAATAACAGTGCTGCTTACCCCAGCTGGCTTGAAAAAATCCCTCCTAGTTTCCTGTGTTTGTTTGAGCCCTGAGATGTGTGATTCTTTTTGATTAGCACCGAACAAGTCGCTCCTGAAGAAAATGTAGGCAATGCTGAGAAGGAAAGTGAAGATAGAAACATCTCACCCTGCTTCTGTGCTTCTGTAAAGCAGCAGAGTAAAAGAGTCCGAGGAAGACGACGGAGGAAAAGAGTGACAGAGTGACCCGTTTGATCAAGGACAGCAGTCTCTTAACACGTTAAAAGAAGTGAGAGGGTGACCACAGAAAAAGAGAGAGACGGGGACTGACGGAGGAACAAAGGTTTGGAGGAGGAGGTCTAGCAGGGGTGGGAAAGCCCATTCCCCATGGCTACTGACCCAGGAGAGCCCGCAGGCACCGAGGATTCCTCGGAGAAACCTGATGGACAGAAGGAGGAGGACCCGGAGTGGGAGGGCAGGGTCGACCAACAGAGGGAGAGGACAGACAGCACCCCTATGGACTCATCCTCCTCCCAGACAGAAGCAGGGAGAGCAGCAACAGAAGAAGATGGAGGAATCAGAGGAGGCGGTGGTGGAGGAGAAGCCTCCCAGGAGGAGACCGTACTCAGACCTATTTCATTCTCCACACCCTCCCTACCCATCGATACAGGTCAGAAACGACTAAGAAGGGAGAAGCGCTTCTTCAGGAAGAGTGTGGAGATTTGTGAGGAAGACGATGAGGTGGATGTACCCACCTTGGCATCACATAGTGCCCCCCACCTGGAGCTGCGCTCATCAGACTCAGTCTTTAGTAGTAGTCCCCAGCAGCATGGGGTTGCTTCATCCTGTGCAACCTTGGGACATGAACCGTCTTGCACCAGCTCAGTCCATGAGCCTGGGAAAGATGCTCCTTCATCTGCACCTGTACCGAGGGGGAAGGAGAGGGACCGAGAACAGGAAGAGGAGGCAGAGATGAAAGCTGTTGCTACCTCTCCTGGAGGAAGGTTCCTCAAATTTGACATAGAACTAGGCAGAGGAGCCTTCAAGACCGTCTATAAAGGCCTAGACACCGAGACTTGGGTGGAGGTGGCTTGGTGTGAACTTCAGGTAAGACAGTCTGTTTTCTGCTTTTTTTTAAAAATTATTATAATCAGTGCACTTAAAGAACACAATGCCGTAGGTTTACTGGTAATACTTATACTTTATTTATCCACTTCAGAATTTAAACACAGTATTACTGTTGTAAAATGAACAGAGATCTGGAAATCTCAGCACGTAGTCTGCTTCCTATTCAGACTGTGTGACTGCAGTTCCGTGGAGACTGAGGTGAAAACGAGGAGCATCACTTGTAGCTGAGTGACAGCACACAGTGAAAGTGGAGGCATTGCCTTTTCTAGGACTGTATGAATAATAGAATAGACTGTCAGCATATCTTCTTGTTGTGATAGGTGTCCTATCAGAAAGACTATGCCATTTACCTGAATTGTATGAAGGCGATTATTGTTTTTCAGGTTTGTATCAATGCTTGTTGTAGGTGTAGTAATCAGGAAAGAAACAAATAACAGCACACATCATGAAGGGGATATACGGCATCTGCCTTGCTTTATAGAAATAAATTATTAAACAAGCTGTTTCTTCTTGTAATCATGCAGTCTAATGCATGTATCACAAGCATTAAGAGAAGATAAATTAATGTTTGCATTATTTGTTTTTGTATTATTCCTATCGGTGTAACCAGGTCTACAAAGCACAGCCTATCTGTTGTTTATGAAATGGAATTATGAATGAGATGTATTTTGTGAGAACAGAGTAAATAGGAGGACTGTAGCATATGTAGGGGTGACTGCACCAAACATCACTCTGAGAAAGTCTTTTTCATGCATTGTAATTGAAGTGGGAGGAAAATGTCGAATTATTATAAATGTTTAATATGGCTCCTCTGTCAAAGCCTTTACACGCTGTAGCCCACCAAACGTAATTATGTGGAGAAGTAATGGGAAACATTGTTATATGGTGTGAATATTAAATATGGTGGGAGGCAGCCTCGTGGAGGAGCAAAGAAATGCATCCCTCTGACTCTTAGCCTCACAATAGACAGCAGTGTTACAGTTAGCCATCTGATCTGACTGCTGGCTTTGTGTGAGGAAAGTCAGTCATGTGTTTGGTTTGGAGCTAATTCCAAAACAAGAGTCTTGGCTAATCCTTGAGATCAGGCTCTTTCTGTTGGACTAACAAGCAGCAGGAATGCCCTCATCACCTTTTCTCGTATTACTCCCAACACTTACTGAAACAGGTTCATATCAGCAGTTGTTCAGAGCTACTTAAATAATCGACTTGCCCTTTTTTGGGGGAAATTTACAGAGCTTGCAAAGGTAGCATGTTTCACCTGCGGTATCAATGTTAGAATTGTGTTTTGCCACCAGACAGTTTTTTGTCATGACATCAGCAACAACATTTTTGAGATCATTTCTTGAAGATGAAAAGCCATCAGTGTTAAACTTCACCCATCCAGTCCTACTGAGAACAGCAAGTTTTGGGGGTAATTGTTATGAAACAGGCTGCTTCAATCCAAAATTATTAAGTCATTTGAGAAGATAATAGATAATTTACTGTATAATTAGATTTTGTATTACAAACAGATAGTGAATTGAGAAAAACAAACAGACTGTAATTCTGACACACAGAGCAACAGCTAGGAGAAGGGAAAAAGGCAGCGTGTGAGAAAGAAAAGTGACAGACACAGGAGGTGATCGTGAAGGGAAGAGAAGGAAAGACAGAGGGGGACACAATGAGCCAAACACAGGATTACCATGGCGTCCCTCCCAGTGAGCAGCCATGTAGCTAATGCTAAGCTACCATACGCAGGGAGACACATGAACACACACAAACGTGCACATACACAGAGGCCTGGTCACACGCCTATAGATGCATCCAGTGCAACATTCAGTGCAACATTCTAGTCACTCGGTGCACATGATCTGACCCATTTACTCTAAATCACCAAAGTCTACTCATGGTTTCAATGTTTTCAGGTTGCCATTGACTAGACAAAAGTGATCATAATAATAATGACTTAAAGCCGTGATGGCAATGATACACTTGATTAGACAGAGTTGATGTGGGACATTAATTTGGTCCTAATAACGAATGCAGTGTGCAATGTCAAAAAAACTTCAAACAGTGGTCGTCCTATTTTAAGGCACAGGGAATCAATAACAACTATATAGGTTGAACAGGATGATAAATGACTTGTACATGACTAGCCAGTACACTGTTTGATGCTGTCCACTTTACTGTGAGACTGCAGCCTGGGAGCACCAGACTCCTGTCCTCCTGTGACCATAAAGGAAGGGAAGCCGGGGGATTAGCTGTCCAAATGCAGCTTGAATGAGTGGGTAATTAAAGTTCACAGTGTGGACACCATCCCTCTTCTTTCCTTCCCTTTCCCAGGGAATTCCACACCTCACAGAGCAGAGCTATACATCAACCTTGCTATTGCTTCAGTCGTATATTGCCATTCATACAGGGGAATGTGTTTGTTTGAATCCCATAACTGGGAGCTGTTGCCCTCTTGTCTGTCTGTGTCAACATATCACTGTATGTGTCCGCCTGTCACCCTCCCTCTCTCTTTCTCTCTCACCCCACTTTCCCCCTGCACCCATACTCTCCCCCATCACTTTTTTGTCTGTTTGAGTGAGCATGCAGAGTGATCCAGGGAGTTAATTACAGTGGGTGCCTGTCAGGCTGGAACAAAAATCCTGCACAGACAGCATAACTCGGGAGGCAGAAACCAGACTGGTTCAACCCAGTCATCCCAGACAGGTCCAGCACACCCCAGGCCAGTTACATTCACAAGACTAGAAGCATTTAGTACTGAGTTTAACAATAGTCACCACTTTGGGTTTGGTGATTTTACTTGTTTTGTTTCAGAGAATTTTAGCTCCATATCAAAAGGTAAATGTCAGTTTAGGAGGCTTCCTTCTCCAAACACTGTACCATGTGTGCTGGCTTGGTAAAGACTGCGTGCAGTCAAGTCTGACAGTTTGGAAGTGATAAGAGAACACATTTGGATTTTTTTTGTTAACTGTCATATTGTATATGTTCTATTAAAAACGGTCAATTTTGCAGTGATCAAAGTATCTTAGTGAACGTCAACATGCTCACTGACTTGCAAAAGGTGTTTATTCTGGATATACTTCTTTGGGTTGGTCTGATACGACAACAATAAAAACAATAAAGGGAGGAGTCGGGATTGTGTTTGTTGTTTCTCATTGTGAAAGACCAGTCTGATCAGGAAAAGCAAAGACGTAGTAATGATGGGTGACTAAAATTAGTTCAGGCTAAATCAAATAGACTACAGCTGAACTGACTAGACCGATTGGATCAATCTAATCAAACTGGCCAGGCACATATTTGCTGGGTCTCTGATAGCTGACAAGTGTCCCTGGGGCTGTATCCTCCCCCCAGAGTCTTTATTACCTAACCAGCAACCAGAGATTCAGTTGCTATTGATTGCTGGAAACATTGACCGCATAACACTACCATTAACTGTATAGCTTGATTAGAAATCAATAAAAGGTTAGCACTGGTGATCCATTTTTTATGGTATGATAATTGTCAAAGGCAGCACATTGAAAAAAATCTGTTTGGTCAGATAGCAGTCAGTTGTCACACCATTTCATCTGAAGAGTAGGTTTGTGGTTTGACAACATGCCGAACCAGAAATCTGTGAAGAATGTGGGACTAGCAAAAAGTTTGGTTTGTTTTGAAAACAAAAACGTAGACACATAGTATAAAAGTATAGTCTCTACCACTCCACAACAGTAGTACTACAGTAAAACAAGAAACAATTGAACACATTTCTTGTAGTGGTAAAGGCCTGCGTGTTGGCTAAAGGCTTCTGTAGATCTTTGTAAACCTGGCCCACTGACCTGGAGTCTTAATCTGGTATGCAGGCAACCCTTTTGCAGCAATCTGTCTTGTTAGTTTGGGCTGTTGGAGCTTAAAGTAATCTAATCTTAGCCATCCACCACCTTAAAACGCTAACTGCAGAACAAGATACGGTGCATGCACCCTGATAAATGTATAAATATACACCTTCAGTATGAATAACGCTCCTCGGATAGTGCTCCAAATTAGTCCCCTTTATCCTGCTATAGCCATCTCAGATAAGAATGTAACCCCAGTGTAATATACGTATATGTGATACCTATACAGTGCTTGCCAAAATAGATGGTTTAAGACTCACATGGTGCATTCATGATCCCAGCTTCATGCCGTCGACTTATGTACTTTGTAAGCTATATCCTTCCCATTTACCCTGGTGTTTTATGAGGCTACTTAATAACCCGCGGCTTGACCTTCTGCTCTACCAGATGTCTGATCCAAAAAAAATCTCACGGTGCACATGGTGCTTAGATCTTATTCTGTTTACTGATTTATAGTACTGAAGTCCCTGCCACAGATGCACCATGTAAAAAAATACATGATGTTGAAAGTTTTAACAAAATAAGAGGAGCATTACAAAGTATTACATACTTAAATATTTTGTGCAGTAACTATGGCCAAAATCAGTCATTATAATGCAGGGTGAAATAATTACTTCATATGTCTGAGATTCTACAATTACCATTGTGGGCCCATCTATGACACACTTTAAGTAAAAACTGAATATCAAAATATTTCTGAAAGAGAAAGGTTCCTCCTTTTAGGGATCACCACAGTGGATCAACTGCCTCTGTCTCACCCCATTCCTAGCATCCTCCTCTGTAACACCATCCCTTATCCAGTATATCTACTACCCTTCCTCTGCACATGTCCAAACCCTCTCAGCTTTACTTCTCTAACTGCTTAACCAGAGTTATCCAGAGTTACTGCTGTCTTTTTGGTAGTTCCACAATCTTCAAATCATACATCATACATAGAAGACTGACACTAGGAGTACAATAGGTTTCTGGCCTCTCCCATTTATTTACACAATATATGTGTAAATGTCGAATTTTTATGATTTCTCTATTTGAAAGCAGAAATGTGGAACTGTCTGTGTGTTTATGTTGCTTTGTCATTTAATTGATGGTTAACAAATTGCTTTGCAACTGTTTTTCTTTCCCTCTGGTGTCTATTTTGTCATTTTGTTTGCAAACTCCATGTCTGCAAATTGCTGTTTTACCAATGCATTATTTGTACTGTCATATCTATCCATTTATATTTTTGACCATTAATCTAATTCAGCATCTCAGGGTGGTGGAAGAAAGGGCAGCATTCACCTTGGGCACAATGTCACTGCATCACCGTCCCAACACCGAGTGATAGACAGCCCTTCACACCAATAACCGATTTATAATCACCAATTAATCTAACAATATCAGACTTTTGTGATCTTTTGGCTTATTAATAATACAGTTAGAGGGATTTCTTCATTGATGCTGTGCCTCCATTTATGAGAATATTAGTGTGAATGTGTGAGCTGGTTCACAGTGGGCAGCAGGCTTGTGTGAGTACGTCTAGACAGATATTAACTGAACTCTTAATAACCTTTGCTGACCCTAAGGGTGGCTGATGATGCAATGCTCTGTGGGGAGACAAAATAGACGCTGAGGAGGCAACAGACACAGTCACACTGTTTCACAGTGTGCCAGACAATGAGGTAGACTGGAGCTCTGAACGAGGACACAGACAGTACTCCCTGACAAAATACAGCACAGCGTGAGCACACGCGAAAATATGAGAACAGGTAGAAGCAGGCAGCATTGAGACTCACATTTGCATAAGAATGCTCAAACATAATAACATGACAGACTTAGTAGTAAAGGCAGGAAGGTGTAAGGGCAAGGCTATTCTGAGGAACTAATTCTTAGTGAGTGCAAAAAGGGAGCAGCTTTTTTGTTGATGCTTCTTCTCCGTTGAGAGGGGAGGGTGAAGAGATTGCTTAATATTTCCAGAAAAGGACACCAAACCAGCATCAACACAGAGAGCAAAAGTGCTCTGAAAAGATAAGTACAGAGCTTTTAGTGTAGGCAGAAAAATGTATATCAATATATAAAGTGACAGAAGGCTGCATATCGACATTACATGAAAATCTGTTGATCTGTGTCCAAATATCTGCAGTACTCCACCTCCCTGTGGGGAGGCGGGGTTTGTGGGGAAAAAAGCAAGCTTAACATCAATGAAATCGATTAGTGGAAACCAAGTGTTATGATGACTTCTATTTATAGTGAGGTCTGTTTGTGACACAGTAGTAGTGGCTGCCACCCAATCCCCATTGATAATAAGTGAAACATACTGTATTGTTTGTTTTAATTTCTTCGTAAGTTCTTTGCATAAATGGCATAAAATTAGATTTTTTTTAATAATACAAAACCATGACACGTAACTTTCCTGTTAAACCTGTGATAATTCCCTGAAATAGCAGGTCCCTAGGTTAATAAAGCTCAAATGACCGCATACCTGAAAAGATGGATTTGTATACATGGATATAGCAACAGTTGTTAATGACAGAGTCTAAAAATACACACTCACTTAGTGGAGCCAGCAAAGTCATCTCTCACTGTGAAATGCTTTAATTGACAGTTTTACGTGACTCTTAATAAATTCTCAAATCACTATCACAACATAGCATATTCTGAAACATTTTTCCCACCTGCTGGGAATTTCATGTTCGTGTATTTTCTATGTGAATAGAGTACAGCAAATTATATTAATTAAAGTGTTAGTATTTTAAGAAAAAGCAGTATAATGTCTGGAAATGTAAAAAGAAGAAAACAAACATGCTTTATATATTCACAACAGAAGAAAAAACCTTATGCGATCAATCTTAGGGATTGCAAAAGACTATATACCAGTGTGTAACTGAGGGATTAGTCAGTGCTATCTCTGTTCCTATAGGAAGCTGCTTGTGCCAGTGAACTGTATTTCTGCAACAGCCATTCTGTCCGCCATACTAGGGATGTGTGGCAGATGCAGTAGAAATGTGTTTTATAAAGCCAGTGACTGGGTGTTGTCTTTGCAGAGCTACATCTATATGCTGCTAGCACCATCTAGTGGCAGTAGGTGTTATTGCTTCATTATGGGAGTGCTGTCCAGGGCAGGCTTATGTTTTGGTTTCCTGTGAGTAGTCACGGAGTAAGGGAGTGAAACAGATGCTGAGGCTCATGACATGACATGTACCTCCTATTTCAGGATCGCAAGCTGACCAAGGCAGAGCAGCAACGCTTCAAAGAAGAGGCAGAGATGCTAAAGGGGCTTCAGCACCCCAACATCGTCCGCTTCTATGATTCCTGGGAGTCTGTACTTCGTGGAAAGAAGTGCATTGTACTAGTCACTGAACTCATGACATCAGGAACACTCAAAACGTTAGTGTAACCTATCTGCTACAGATAGCTATTATTGAGTCTATGTTTATTACGTTCTAAAAAAAAGAATTATTTCAGTTAATCTATAAAATTTGTTAATCCACATTCATTTGTTTGTCTTGCCAACACCTTGGTACTCACTTCTGTTAATGAATTTGATGAATGGAGATTATTCATACCGCAAAACACAGTTTTTATTGTGCATAGAGTTAATGTACTATTAATTTGGACAGATGTGTTGCTTTATACAGAGATAGTGTCATCACATTATCACAACACGTTCAAATTCAGGAAATATAAGTAATTCATAATATTTCGCTATCGCTGTCAGTGTGTTGACTTACACGTTTTGTCTATTGGTTGTTTATTACAATATCCTTTTGAGTTTGATTGCTTTTATTCTCTATTCACAGTTACCTGAAGCGCTTTAAGGTGATGAAACCCAAGGTCCTTAGAAGTTGGTGTAGGCAAATTCTGAAAGGCCTTCACTTCCTTCACACCAGGACTCCACCAATTGTCCATCGGGACCTCAAGTGTGACAACATTTTTATAACAGGCCCCACAGGATCAGTCAAGATCGGTGATCTGGGACTGGCCACTCTTATGAGGACCTCCTTTGCAAAGAGTGTTATAGGTAGGCTGCTTGCAGTTTATAGATTGAATGCTTTTTAGATCACTCATGCCCTGTCTCTACAAGATTAAGGCCTTTCCTCTGCATTCAGCACTACTGAGATTTTACAAAAGTCTCACTTAACTTCAGTAGACGTATAGTTTATTTCTATGTTAGTGGTGAATGTAGAAAGAGGGCACTGATGATGAAATGCCAGCTCTCTTAGCCTGCAGAAGCAGTGCCCAGTAAAGAGAAATTAGATGATGAGTAGGTAGATTATTATCAGTTTGAAAATTCTTACACTGAGTCTGAGGAAATTTCTGCTTTGTGGATGGTATTACATCACTGTAAATACAAACTCTAATCTGTAGTGAAATAATATTTCGATGTTTGGGTTGTCATAGAGTACTGTTTGGTTTTAACAGGAACCCCGGAGTTCATGGCTCCAGAGATGTATGAGGAGCACTATGATGAGTCTGTGGACGTATATGCCTTTGGGATGTGTATGCTGGAGATGGCTACTTCAGAGTACCCCTACTCTGAGTGCCAAAATGCTGCTCAGATCTATCGCAAAGTCACAAGCGTGAGTCTTTGAAATATTCGCAAGCAAACTCTATGCATTTGTGGTGATGATGCATAAGGATCTAATTGATTGTTGTTTTATTTCATTGTGATCTAAACTATTTGGCTCAACTCTGAAAATGTTTTAATTTTTAAATGCAGGACTTAAAATCCTAATTACATAAGTTCCTGTAGAATACAATGAATTTCCTGTTTCTTTTATTTTTCAGGGTATAAAGCCAGCCAGCTTTGACAAAGTAAATGACCCAGAGATCAAAGAGATCATTGAAGGCTGCATTCGTCAGAACAAAAGCCAGAGGTAAGCAGAATTTGCTTTCATAACACTATGGCATCCACTCTATTATGCAGAGTGACTGGTAATGTGATCATTAAACGTCCCAGTCTCTTCTATCATCGAATTCTCCTTTCTTGACAGACTCTCCATTCGAGACCTGCTGAACCATGCTTTCTTTGGGGAGGACACAGGCGTCCGGGTGGAACTAGCTGAGGAGGACACAGGCATCCAGGACTGCCTGGCTCTCCGAATTTGGGTTGAAGACCCCAAGAAGCTGAAGGGGAAGCACAAGGACAATGAGGCCATTGAGTTCAGCTATGACCTGGAAAATGATAGTGCTGAAGAAGTGGCTCTAGAGATGGTAAGGCAGGAATAATTAATGCCTGACAAGCTGATCGGGTCCGTAGGTGTCAGGTACTGTTGACTGGGAAAAGGCCTTGATTTGATACTTAAACGCTTAAATGCAGGTTAGGAATTACAAGCCCTTCACTTTATCTATCAGCCACTTCAAGATTTCTCCAGCTGATCTAGATTTCCTCACCTGACATTTGCCCATTAATTAATTACTCTCTCTTTGCCTCTCTACATTACAGGTGAAATCAGGCTTCTTTCATGAAAGTGATGCCAAAGTGGTCGGAAAATCCATCCGGGACAGAGTGAACCTAATCAAAAAGTCAAGGGAGCGTCGACAGCAGCAGGTCCTTCAGCAGCAGGGCTTTGAAGAACGAAGAGACTCCACTCTCACTTCCTACACCTTTACTCATCCATCTTACCCATCCTCGCTGGTGCAGGGGGTAGCTGGACACACGGGAGACGGAGGGGGAGGTGGAGTGCAGGAGTCCGAGGAGCTTCCTGAAGTGGACCAACATGTCAGGCAGCAAAATATTTTCAGTGGGGCAACCCTAAATCTGCCAGGTACAGTGTGCTCCTTAGTGACATATCCCATGTGCCAGTAGCTGATCAAAATGTATCTATATGAAACAATTATAATGGTGAAATTTTAAATGAAAATTTTAAAATACATGAATATGATTTGAACAAGTACTTTTTGTGTAGTCTGAATTTTTATAGTGTCTTATTTTTTAAATGTCTTTGACTACTCAGAAGGGGAGAGCATTGGATCTGCAAGCTGTGAATCTTATGCGAGTGGACAGAGCCAGGCATACTCTCTGCAGGGGGACTCATATACCCACTCACAGACCTCATTACCCACAGTTGCATCTGTAGGTGTATTTTTATATCTTACTGATAAAATTATTGTTTTTTGAACTTAAATACTGTATATATATTTATATATGTGTTCATTATTTTTCTTGCACAACAGAGCACTGGTGCATTGCCTCATCCTCAGATGCCCCCCATTGGTGAGAGTACAAGTGTTGCTACTATACCTCTTGGGCCGAGTGTTAGTATGACAAGCATGTCCTTAGGACAAAGTGGAGGAGGACCCATGGGTCAGACATTTCTTCACTCCGGTACCGTGGTTCCGCAGGTATCACCAAGTGTACCTCAACAATACTTTCAGGTGAAAATGGTGATAATGTGCAAACTGACAGCCTAATTTAACATAGGGGCAATGAAGGCTAACATTAATGTTAATGTGTTCTTTTCCATATAATAACTGTTTGTGCCAACATAAATCATCCTCATAATCATCTGAGATTCGCCATCTGGTTTTACACTACACAGGGTTTCCCCCAGGAAGTTGTTTGTCAGAGGTGGTGAGATGTCTCTCTCATTAAATACTATATTAGCTTGGAGTGTGAAATTGTGATTCTGGTTAATTTTGTGGGGAGGCAGCCAACCTCTGCTATAAAGCACTGTGGGACACCCTGATTAAAATTAAATGTGTTGATAATTGATGCTTCTTTCCAAAGCTTAATCTTAACCCAATTTTTCTGCTACTTTCTTTTCCCCCTTCTTTCAACTCCAAACATCATTCTCCCATTATCACTCAATAGTCACAAACATTCCCATCAGATGATTTTCAAACCGCCGCTCCCCACGGATCAGTTGCCCCTTCACAGTCATACATACCACCTGTTTCCCCACAGGCACCCATTAATGTTCTCACTGCATCCATGCCAGTCAGTGATACTGCTGGACTAGCAAGGACAATTGTGCCCCACGCTCAGCAGACCCAACACCCTGCCACTCCCATGCAGATCACTGACATCATTTCCCAGGCCGCACCCCAACAAACACAGTCTGTCGTGATCCCCCAGCAGACTATTGTCCCACAACAACAGATGGGAATGGATCCCCAGACCTCCACCCTTCATTTGCAGCAGCAGCCACAACTGCAAATAGGGGGGCAGTCAGCTGAGCTTGAACAACAACTAGTTACTGCCGCTCAGCCTGCAACAGAACAGCATCAACACAGCCTTTCAGCTACGTCCATCGAGAAACATCAGTCTGAGACTCAGCAGCAGATCTGTGTACAGCAGTCTGCCCCACACGTCCAGCCAGCTTCACAGCAGCCTGTGTTCACACCACAAACAGGTATGGAGCAGCGAGCTATGCAATCAACAGGGGATCCCTGTGAACAGATAATGCTACAATCACAACAACAGCTTCAGCAACAGCAAACTTTGTTACAACAGCAGCAGCAAAAAGAGCAGCAGCAACAAGCTTTACTGCTTGAGCAACATCAGCTGTATGTCCAGCAACAGCTTGATCAGCAACAACAAAGAGCACTGCTTCAACAGCAGCAGCAAGCCCAGCTGCAGCAGCAGCAAGCGCTTAAACAAAAGCAACTGTTGGATCAACAGCAACAGCAACAAGGTCTTGGACCGCAAGAGCAACCAATTTTTCAGCATCAGTTAGAGCAACAACAACCAAAGCAACCTCCTTCACAGCAACAGAGTCAGTTATATCAACAAATTGGACAGCGCCAAACTGGAACACAAAAGGAAACAGAGAATCAGCAACAAAGTGGGCAAAACGAGCAACAAATTTTATTGCAGCAGCATCCCCAGCAGATGCAGCAGCAGAATGAACAACAACTGCAACAGCAGGCCTTAATCCGGCAAATGGAACAGCAGCAGGCACTGATACAACAGCAGTTAATGCTACAGCAGCAGCAGCAGCTTCAACAGAAAGCTCAGCTGCAGCAACAAGAGCAGCAACAAGCGCAACTCAAACAGCAGATAGAACAGCAGCAGCAAGCTCTGTTGCAACAACAGTTAGAGCAGCAGCGTCAACAGCAAGTCCTGTTACAACAGCAAGCAGAAAGATTACAGCAACAGGCTCTAATGAAGCAGCAGTTTAAAGAGCAGCAGCAAGCTTCCATCATTCAACTTCAGCAAACTGAAAAACACAAAGCTGTCCCTATACCACAAAGCAACAGTGAGCAGCAGATTCATCATCAACCAACCGATATACAGCAGATGTGTATCCCACAACTGAACTCTACTCAGTTTACACCTCATGCTTCTCAGATGATAGAGCAACAGCAGCAAGTAGCACTGATGCAGCAGCAGCAGGCATTTGTTGCCCAACCACAGCAGCACACATCTGTAATGGAACCTCACATATCAGTTGGCGCACCAGTCAGTACTGAGGTAATTCATCACCAAACTTATATTATATCTCAGGGCCAAGTGCCCATGACCATTCCTACTACTGTTCAGACGCCTGCAAGTGTCCCAGCTCAAATCCTTACACAGCAAGGACAAAGTGAGGCTCAGCCCCAGAACCAAGGCCAGAGCCCAGCCAAGTTTATAGCTCAGTCTGCAGCCCAACCACCTCAAGCTATGACAGAGGGCCAGGTAACTACCCCATTATCATTGATTCAGGGACACACACAAGTCATCCAGAGCCAGCAGGTTCCTTCCCAAACTAGTTACCCTGGGCCTGTTACTCCCACACAGAGTCAGGTAACTTCTCAGCCAATCCAGGCTCATCCTCTGACCACAACCTTTACTCAGTCACAGCCACTGCATGGCCAGGTCCCAAAGGCTGATGTTCAAATGACGGGCCAACAAAGTCAAACTACTGTCCAGCCTCCAGGTGCAGTTGCTTCAATCCCCAGTCAGATTCAACATGAAACTCTTATTCAGCAAAATGCTCCAATGCCAGCGCTCACCCAGCCCCAGATCCAACAACAAACTCAAGGCCAGCAAGCTAGCCAGTTGCATGCGCAGTCTGCTGCTGGTCCTTTGACCAGTCAGTATGTCCCTCACCCTACCCAGCAAGCCATACCACCTGTACAGTCTGATATAACTCATATTACCCAACGGCTGGAACAACAGCACCCAGTAATCGAGTATCAGCAGATGATTCTGTCACCTGGCTCAGCTGGAAGTTGTGGAACTAAAACAGATGGTCTCAGTTCAGTAGCTGCCCCTCTTCATCCTATACAGACCAAACAAGCACAAGTCCCAGGCCAAAGATCACTACATTCAGTTGTTCAGGGTGACCCTTCAGTAATTCAGTCCATCTGCCAGCCTGCTGTTCTTCAGTATACTGAGCAGTACCAACAACAGCTGCAGAAGCTTTCTCACGTGCAGCAATCTCTCGCCATGCCACCCCCACAGACCCAGCTACCGGCACTACCCAGCTCAACTCCCGTTCAGCAACCACTTCCTCTGAAACCAGCTTTGATAACCTTTGACGAGAGTCAGCTTCCCTCACAGTGTCAACCTCCTTCACCTCTAATGACCATTGCTCCTGGACAATTAGGCCCCAATAATGTGGCTGAGCCTCAGTCCCAGGGCAAGACCCTGTCTCTGTATAGCCACCTAGTGCTAGGTGCCCCTCCTTCTCCACAGCACCATCCCAAGCAGATGCCACCAGCTCACACACAAACACAAGCCAGCAATCAGGCCCAAGCACACTCTCAAACACAGATACACACTCAGACACCTATATCTGAGCAGCCTATTTTGCCCCATGCTGTCTTTCCTACGCAGCAAGTGCCCCTAAGCCCTTTGCATACCTCATGTCCTTCTACACTATCATCTCTTACATCCCTGCCATCCACCTATCCTGCTGTTGCCCCTGCTCCAGAGCTGCCCACATCTTCACCAGCAGCCCAGGTAACCTTACCAGCGCAAGTCGACTTTATACCCACCTCCCCCCTGCCTGTTACTACTCTACAATCACTTGATTCTAATGCCCCCAAACCCAAACTGACCCAAGGCTCGCTGCAAGACTGTGACCTTTCCCTGCTGGGCATTGCTCAGGTACAAGAAGTATGAAAGTTTGCTTTATAAATTTGATAATAACTTTACTGACATGCTGGCACAATAAGTAAGCATACTGCTAAATCTAAATATTTGAAAATAAGCTTTGACTGCACCTTTTTGATTCATACTAACAAATTTTGATTCCTAAGTGTATTCATAGAACATGTCCTATATGTCATTTGTCATAATCACACTATTGCTTTACTTGCCGTTAACATAGCTAATCTATTTTTGCATTCTTTTCTTCATGCTGGCATGGTTTGTGTGTGTGTGTGTTTGTATATATGTCACTCTACAGGATGGTCCTTGTAAGACAAGTGCAGATCGTCATTCTTCATCAGGGTAAGTGATATCATTGCAGTCTGATTTCCATATAAATGTAATCTCAGTACTGAGTGAAGCTGTAATTTGCTATACAAGGACTTAAAACATGCTCAGAGACTTGGTTTTTCTTTTAAATTGAATTCATTTTGCAGCTAAGTAGTAGTGCAAAAAGATTGTTTTTTAGAAATCATAAGAGTCTTATGATGTAATAATGTTTTACATTTGAATCCTTTACAATTTCACATTAAATGTTGAGTGAGAGCCTTTAAACTGCTTCAAGCATGGCTGCTGCTTTTAGATCATTTGTGGAAAACTCCTCTGCATTTTTCCTTGTGTTGCACTAGAGTTTAAACACTGTGGCCAAATCACAAGCCTTTATCTTTAAAGGCTCATTTTGGGTAACAATGCATAGTCTCAGTGATCTTTCTCTGGCAGGTCAGGAGTATTTGGTTTTGGTTGTTCTGGTTCAGCTAGAAAAGTCCATTGCACTGTGTGCTGACCTGCAATAACACTATGACAGAAACCATAGTTCAGGTGGTTTTTGTTGGATGTTCTTCTCATTGGCAGTCTGACCCTCAGGGTCAGATTCCTCGCGCATAGAACTGCCGGTATTGAAAACAATGAGAAGTTTGCTTCTGTTTGGGCCTCTGACTAACGTGCCACATTTGGAATCGGACACACTGGTGTTTGATCTCTGCTTCATAGACAGGAACTTTGCTCTTATTAGCAGTGATGATTCTGGACAGCCATTCACAAATGCAGGTTAAAGCTTTATTATGCAAAGGATAATCCATATGTAAACATCAGGAACACAGACATCTTCTCTGGGCTAAAGTTCATTTAAAATGGACTGAGGCAAAGTGTAAATATGGTCTGTGACAAACAAAGTTTGAAATTCTAATTGGAAAACATGAATGCTGAGGCACCACACTAAATAGGGAAGGGACCATCCAGTTTGTTATCAGCACTCAGTTCAATAACCTGCATCTCTGACAGTATGTGGTTACATTAGTGCCTATGTAATAATAACCCTGAACATCTGGAAAGGCACCATCAGTGCTGAAACATGTATACAGGTTTAGAGCAACACATGCTCCCATTCAGATGACATCTTTCTTAGGGAAGCTCTTACATATTTTAGCAAGACGGCGCTAAACCACATACTGCATCTTTTACAACAGCGCTGGCTTTTTGGTAGAAGACTCCAGGTGCTGAAGAGGCCTGCCTGCAGTCCAGATCTGTCACCCATTTAAAACATTTAATGCATCATGAAATTAAAAATACCACAAAGAAGACACAGGATGTTTGAGCAACTAGAATCCTACATGAGACAAGAATAGGACAATATGCCTCTCCCAAAAGTTCAGCAGCTGGTCTCCTCAGTTCACAGATGTTTACAGACTATTGTTAAAAGAAGAGGGGACGCTACCAAATGGTAAACAGGGCCCTGTCCCAACTTTTTTGAGACATGTTGCTCCAATGAAATTCAAAATGACCTGATTTTTGAGATTTGGAAATCATTGCATTCTGGGGTTTTTTTTGGTTTTAAACAGTATCCCTACTTTTTCATAATTGAGTTTATACATTTATACACACTTAAGATTTACAATACAATTTCTAATCTCCATGACACCTTTAGGTGTATACCAGCCAGTGGCGAAGACCCCTTGCCTCTCTTGGCAAATGGAAAATTAGAGAAACTTAAGTCTCAGAGACGAGCTTCCAGCCAGAAGTCTGAGAAACACCAGTTTCAACTGAGCATGCTTCAGGTGAAAAAATATAGGAAACACCAACACCGACTTTATTACTATATTTGTTAAAGTATATTTATGGATATTAAAAGATTAATAGCAAAGAATAAATGTGATTATTTGTCTTGTACTTAATAGGTGTCCGGCAGTGGGGACAATATGGTGGACTGTCAGTTGGAGACTCACAGCAACAAGATGGTGACATTTAAGTTTGACATTGAAGGGGATGCACCCGAGGACATAGCAGATTACATGGTACATTACTGTATGATCCTGTAGTTTGCACTTATTTTGAAAAGTATTGTTTTAATTTTTGATGACTGCCATTTGATAAAACTTTGCAGGTGGAGGAGGACTTTGTCCTTGATGTGGAGAAAGAAACATTTGTCGAGGAGCTCAGAGCGATAGTTAAGAAAGCCCATGAAATTCTTCAGACACATTCAGAGGTACTATCAGTCTAGCCTCTTTAGTTTTTCTGTTTTGTTTGAATAATGCTGAATCTGAGAAAACGTGAATATATATACAAAATGATAAATCCTTATTTTCGTACTAGACTGGATCGACTGACCAGTTACAAGTCAGCACTCCCACTTACTCCAGTAAGTTTAGGCATATACAAATGTTCTGGTAGAATGGGAATATGTTCTGTGTGATGTTTCTCAACTTAGTAGAAAACAGTAATCAATCTTTACGGTTTCTCAGTGGACCCAGTGCCCCATTCCTCCCCAGTGGGACGTTGGCGGTTCTTTATCAACCAGACTATCCGCCACAGAGACTCTCTTTCCAGTCAGGGAGCAACCACACCATCACCCACTGCAGAGACAAGGATTCCCCAGTCTCCTAAAAGAGAGAAAGGTGAGCACTCCTGGAGTCGGTTTTATTACTTTGGCTTATTAACATGGCCCATTTGGCCACATAACAAAAACTTAACTCCGTGTTCATTTCTGCGGCTGTAGAAAGTGAAGGATCCCAAAGTCTGGAGTCCTTGAGTGGAATGGGCTCTCCTTCCTACCCCACCCTTTCTGCCACCTCCCCCCTAGACTCCACTGTTTCAGTACCTACTTCCATGAGCCCCTCTGCTACCGCAGCCCCTGTTCATCACACAGCACCTGAAACCAGGCCTGGACCAGCCTCTGTCCCTGTCACCACCTCAACTGGCCTTATCTCAGCTTCTGCTGACCAAATTTCTATTGCTCCTTTAACTATAGCAACATCTGCTGCTGCTCCTGATGCTAACCTCACCAGCTTGTCCGCTGCTCCTGCTGTTGTGTCTCCCTCACCCATCACTATTCATCCTGATAACCTGACTTCTCCTGGAACCAGTGTTTGTTCCACTGCGAGTCAAAGTGTAGATGATACTCTGATCTCTGCTTCAAGGCCCCGTATGTCTGCCGTGGACCAATCTTCAGCCTCTTTTCATTCCCCTTCTCCTGCTGTAGTCATCCCTTCTACTGTAAGCCAACTTGGCATAGAGCAGCAGCAGACATACACCCAAGTAGCCCAACCAGCCCCACAACAGCCACACCAACAGCTACAGTCTGCATCACAGCAGCAAGTACCATCACCACAACAGAAACTGCAGTCCCAACATCAGGTGTACCACGAACAAGTACCACTACAGCAGGAACGAGCACTTCAGCAGTCTCTCCAGCAGTTGCATCAGCAGCAGCTAATTCAAACACAAATACCACTTCAACAACAGCTGACTGAGGTGCAGGGAATGTCTCAGCATTGTCATTCAGAGGTGTTACAGCAGTCTCTGCCTCTGCCACCTTTTCCTCAGCAGCCAACCGAACAACCCCTTGTTCAACAGCAGACATCAAAGTTTTCCCCACAGTTGCTGCAGCAGCCTCAGTTACAGCAGTTACAACAGCAGATTATGAGTCCTGCTGGTCCATTGCCCCCCAAACAAGCCCACATTGATCAACAGCAGCAGCAGCAGCAACAGTTAAACCTACAACAGACATTACACTTACAGCAGCAGCAGCTACAGCAGCATCAGATGTTTATGGGTGCTGCAATTTTGAAACCAGATCAAAACCAAATGCTGCCCCTATCAGTTAGTCAGCAGTTTCTTCAACAGCAGACACAGCTAAATGTTTGCCCAGTACCACAACAGCAGGTCCCACAACAAACCCAAGTGCCTGTTGAGCTGTTATCACAACACATACAGGCACAGAAACAATCACAATATACTGAGCAGCAACAGGAGATGGTTAAAGCTGTGGACACGCCCCTCAAACAGCTGCAGTTTCCACTACAGAAGCAGTCCTCCTTACAGATGTCAGAGTCAGAGGTGTCCACGGGAGAGACAAGTGTTACAGAGGACACAGGGAGTTATTCTGCCCCCTTTCATCCCTCCTCTGACTCCTCTCTGCCACCTCTGCATCTGGGAACTGCTGAAACCCCCTTACCCACATTCTCCCACGTAATGACGCCATCCCCTGTTCAACCTTCCTCCGTAGCCGAGTCAGACAGCGAAGGCCCCCCCAAAATTGAATTTGTAGACAACCGCATAAAAACCTTGGATGAAAAGCTAAGGAATTTGTTGTATCAGGAGTACAGCAGTGGGACAGCACTGGCTGGGGGGGCTACCTCTTGCCCAACATCAGCTGCCTCCACATCAGCAGGTGGTGATGAGTCATCAGAGCCACAGTCAATCCACCACTCATCTTTCCCCCCACCTGCCTCCATCTCAGATACTTCCCCACAGTCCTCATCCTCCACTACTTCCTCCACCACCTCCCGTTCGTCTTCCACCTCTCCTGACCCAGAGAGAGAAGGAGGTGGAGAGAAAGCTTCCAAAGAGGTGCCCAACTCTATGGAGTTGGACCCAGTGGAGCAGCAGCTTGGCCCATCACTCCTCACCACCTCTGTCTCATCCAGCCCACCCACCCCTCTTCTGCCTCCCAATCAGGATGACTCTGCTGGGCCCCAACGCCCACCTGTACCAGGAGAACCAACCATTCTTGTGAGTGAATACCACAGATTAGATTTCAAGTAAATTCTCCTTCAGTTTGTCTTTCACTGTAGCGAATTATAATTATTGCTCTGTTTCAGTGTGTAAATGTGACTCCACTATGTTTCAGCTGTCCGCGATTATTTGTATTATATAAATGTTTGAGTATCTCTGCGTTTTTTTTATATCTCAACTCCATGCAGCCACTCTTAATTGTCTTAACTGTTCTAGGCTGTACCCTCACATTCTGACACCAGTGCCATTGGAGATGCATCATGGCCCCCCAATCAGCAACCGATCCCCCTCCGGCACGGACAGCAGCAGCACAATGCAGGAGGTGGATATTTTGGCCTAAACCTGACATGTCCTAGTATCAGAAATCCTGTTAGCAAGAAATCCTGGACTCGAAAATTCAAAAACTGGGCATGCAAACTGCGTCACTCCGCCAGCTTGTTCAAGAAGCCCAGAGTCCAGCAAGGTAGCGTCCTTTTAGGGAGTAAGCGCGCGCGAGAGAGAGCGAGAGCGAGAGAGAGAGAATGGGATGTTGGGGCATGGACCTAAATCTAATATCTAGTACTAATTTTAACATAGCAAAATAACTTTTTTAACCTTTAAGGCTTTAAAGTTAATGTTAATGGACATTAATGTTTCCAGCTAAATAATACTGTTTTATGTATGTTTTTTTATTTGGTTATAGTCCCCCCTGTAAGTCCCTAGTGTTGACATCACTGCATACATTACTGTTTGTTTTTATTTATTGATTTTTTTTTTTTCTAAATTCCTTTTTACTAAATTTCATTTTCTTGGCAGTCTTTCTTTTTGCATGACTTGCTCACTCAGGGGCGAGAACAGTGGAGCGTAGAGGAGGGTGGGAGATTGGCACAGTGTAGGAAGAGTTTGGCATCACAAATCTGATGTCCTCCCAGTGCTGATGAACTATGGAGTAAAGACAAGCTGTGCCTGTGCCAAGGAAATATTCCTTCACATCACACCTCCCTTCATTGTCCCAAGTCCACAGGCACTGCCAGCAACAATCATCTCAACTGCACCTGCTGACTCAGTGTAGACAGCGTAATGCAACTCACATCATTACACAGATAGCATAGATGCTAAGTTACCAAGCTGATGTTATGTAATTGTTTGTAGTTCAGAATACATATAGGCTTAACCTGTAAACTCATACACAGTAGCACTGCTCCAAAACAATAACATATGATGTAGCTGTAGTGAAGTAAGTGAAGGTCATAATATGTTAGAATACAGTGTGTGCATTACCAAAGGATTGTAAGTTACTGCCGGGCTCTTTTGCACACGTTTAGGCTTTCCATATGGCTACGTTTTATCATGCTTTTCAAGTATTCCAGTCATCTTGCATGTAATCGTGTTTATGTGTGTAAAGTGTGTAGCAGTAGCTTAGATCTTCTGTTACAAGAGCACATGCATGAGCATGTATGTTATGTTCTACACGCGTGACTAATAATGGACCATTACCTGTAAGTAACACATATACCAGGCTGTATATATTTTATGTTAATTTTTATGTTTTATTTTTCCCTTAAAAATGGCTGTGGTGATCCATGTACACACTCTAATGTCGTAATCCCAAATATCAAACACACTGACCAATATCACTGTTGCTCTGACAAAGATCTTAAATGTGATATTGGGCTACATTGTCTAATGAGTGGGTGGAGCAGTGATGACTTGGTGAGAATGAGAGCGTGGATGTGTGGGTGGGCTATACTGTATTTAACTGGTATTTTAAAATATGTTTTTGCTTTTAATGAATGCATTTACCACTACTCCCCACACCTCACGAAGTTTTTTTAACAACTTTAAATTCACAAAGACCTCATTTTAAAATTGACATCCACAGAAAGTATGTTTACACAGTTTACAGACTTGCATGCATGTTAAAGAAGTCACAATGTTCTGTGATTTGAATGGCCAATTCTTAACACTGTGCCTTTGTGTTTGTTCTCCGTGTCTGTCCTTTTGCATTTGTATGTCTCACTGTCATGTGCATTTTTCTGTTTCTGTTCCTTTGTTGTATGTCTGTATCATCATTTGTGTGTTTTTTATACGTGTGTTTGTGTTTTTGTATCTTTGTCCTTGTCTATCCCTTTTGTTTTCATCCCTTTCTCATTATCAGAAGCAGATTCAAGCAGTCAGCTGTTTAAAGATGGGAAGGCAGGAGCACCACTTAATCCACCGCAGCCTTCTAAAGGACGTTTTCAGGTAGGAGCACATTAGCTGATTCTTGTTAGTCTCAGTCTTTGGCACAGTCTGAACTAGGGCTGCAACAAAAAATTTTGGTAGTCGACTAATCTGCCAGTTTTTCTTTGATTAGTTGATTAGTCATCGATTAATGTTTCATATTCATATGTTTCCGGGTCAAAATAATGACCCAGGAAGCGCTTAGCAAGTATCATCCTGAGCAGTTTCTGACAGTTAAGCTAACATAAACATGACGGTACGAACATTTACATGAACAAGGTATCAGTGTGACGAACTAACTTAACTTTCTAAAACTGACCCATTCAGAGTTGATGTCACAGCTCCAGGGGGCCGGCCTTAAATGTTCGTGCACGGCAGTATTGCTGTTGTGAAAGGAAAGCGCCGCTTTGCACAGTCTGCATTTAACTTTGCTTGTTTTCTGTGAAAAGCTTTCACATTCTTTAAAATCTCTGTTTCCATTTTCTGCTGACCTCCTGTTTTGCAGTTCGCACTACATTCTTTTTCCTTAGTATTGTCTGCAGTCTTGGCAGACGATATAGGTGATACTTCCCCCATAGCTTCCTGTAGTGTATTGCAGTTACAAAAACACATTTACTTGGTATTAGTATATGAAGCGTTGACAGTAAAATTTCGCATCAACTAATTTTTATAGTTGAGTCATGAATTATGCCGACAAAATGTTGCAGCCCTGGTCTAAACAAGCAATGAAGATTTCTCACATTATTAATCACCAGGTGACTCCAGTGCCCCAGACCTCTCCTCCAAAGGATCGCCCATCGGGCCATGGTGGCACTCACAGAAAAGTTGGCCGTTTCTCTGTGACCCAGACTGAGACTAAGAAAGATGACAGGCAGACTGACAGCTCGCCAGTGTCTCCTGATTTGGTGAGGGAGAGGAGGAAATCTCGGGCAAAGGAAGGAGATAAAGAAGAAAGTAAGAGAACTCCATCAATGGCCCACGCTCCTCGAGGTCCTGGCCACAGCCACTCACCCCTTGGAAGCAGTGATGATGATGATGAGAGTGAGCTGGAGGATGAAGACCTGCGAAGAGAATTACACAAGCTCAGAGAAAAGTAAGTCAACAAGGGAAAGAAGTTTTATTATTGTACAAGACTTTTGCCTCTCCATTTATTGAATTTTCTTCTTTGTGTCTCCGTTTATTTTTGTTTCTTTCCCACAGTACATAACCGTTCTCTTTCTCTGTAGGCACATCAAAGAGGTGGTTTCCCTTCAGGCTCAGCAGAACAGAGAGCTCCAGGAGCTGTACAGACAGCTTCGTTCCCTCAAAGACCAAAGACAGAGTCTGCCTGCCTCCCTATCTCGTACCCCTCCTCTTCCTGCAGCGCCCCCTGCCCTCTCACCTCGCAGGCCCAGGCCAACCAAAACAAAGTTTCGGGCCAGGCCTCACTCTCACGTAGACAACAATGGAGTTACACATGCTGGTGAGGCTTTTACTATTTCTTCCTCACTTTCTTGTTTTGTTTTTTTAGATTTGCTCTCTGCGAAACTGTGTCTTGTATGTCTCATCCAGGGATTCAGCAGTCAAGCAGCTTTTCAGGTAGTGAAAAGAATAGGCTGTCACTGTACTGCAAGCCAGAGCACCTTACTACGCTACCTGCTAAAAGAGGTACGGTTTATCCTCGTAGTGCTAAAATCGGGTCAGCATACCATAATTAATGTCAGTTGGTGCCATGACGAGTCGCCTTGTTTTTCCACAGATCACAGTCCTCTAAGAAAAAGTACATTCACAGACGAGCTGCACAAACTTGTTGATAATTGGACAAAGGAGACAGTGAGCACCACCCCGCCTAAGCCTTCACTGAATCAAATTAAGCAGATTCAGCAGGTGCAGGAGTTGGGAGGCTGGAGCCAGGGAACTGAGGTAGGACTACACATTAAAAGTGTTGTTGGTATATCAGGCATGTCTTTCTTAATAATTAATTATTTGGATAAATAAACTTTATATATTTCAAATGCATTTTACTGAAAACTGTTGCTTATTGTTTATGAGAGGAAAAAAATCTTTTTTGAGTGTGATTTTGAATTACCAAACAATTCTTCATGGTTTTTGGTGATGATGATACAACTAAGTCAGAAAGCTTTAAGAGTTTTAGACAGTTCTTGAGCCAAAAGTACCAAAAGGTTTGTTTTGTTATTGTAGTCATAGTCTCTAAGTATTTACTGCTATATTTGTGCAGGTGGCTCCCCCAGGTTGGTTTCCAGTGGCACAGGCGCCCACAACCCCTGCCAGTTTGACTGTGGCACCCTCTTCCCATTACACGGGTGGAGGAAGCCTGTCCACCCTGCACTCTCCAGGACCTCCACCACAAACACACTTGGCTCAAGTCCCGCAGATGCAGCAAAGTTTACACCTTCATCAGTCTCTCCCCCTCCAGCAGATTAGCTATCCACAGTCCCAACTCTGCCAGCAGATACCACAGCCCCTGATGCAAACTCCCATGCAGTCTCAGTCTTTATCACAGACACCACCCATCGCCCAGCCTCAAAGCCAACCGCTGCTGCCTTCCCAAATGCCCACATCACCAGTGTCCACCGCTACATCTTTGCTGCCTGGTAGTGGTACCGCTGCACCCACAGATAGCGCTGCTGCTGCTGGTGGGGCATTTTGCTCCTGTTCCTCCCCCTCTTCCACCTGTTCCTCATCGTGCTCTACTGCTGCTCTACCTACCAGTGCCAAAATTCACCAAACACCCCCCACCTCTACTCTTCCTCTGGGACAGAAATGAAACCAGGTGAAGTGTGAGGCCAATATGAAGGTCCAAGAGATGGACGTAAAGCAGATCCATTTAGAGTGTTAGTTCTGTGTACGTGTGCGAGAGTTGTGACTGCAATGACATATGGGTTCTAGTGTACTTGTGGATGTGATGGGAAATGAATGTGAAAGAAAGGTGATAGGTTGTAGCATGTACAGGCAGAGGGTAATGTGAAGCATGGCTGGGGTTTCTGAATCAGTATTGAGCTGTATAAAGTCTTTGATGTATGAGTGTGTGCATTTATGAGTGTGGGTGGATTATTTGAGTACATATCACTTCTGTCTTTGGACACAAAATAACATTAACGTTTTTGTTTGCAAACCAGCTCAGCGGGACCTGAAATCTCCCTAAGCAGAGACGAGAAGGACAAAATATTTGCCGGTGTTGACATTTTTCTTTGGATTTGTCAATGCTTACAGTGAAAGGACTATCAATTTTTAAAAGTGCAATTAGTAATGATCATCTAAATTGATCAGCACGTATTGTTTTCATTTGTCTTTAAGGCATAAAATATTTTTGTAGAAGCACAATGATTAATACCTGATGCATAGGGGATTTTGTTCATCATATTTTAAAACTGTAAGCCTACAGATCAAGTGTTTCAAAGGCAATCGGAAAAAAAACCCCAAACTGACAGCAGCATGTTTCAGAGGTCAGCACTTATCCGGCTATCCATTTAACTGCAGTGCAAACAAACACACTGTCGAGGTGTCGTGTACCTGTACAGCATGTGCTTGATTTTATATTGTTTTATGTTTGTAACAAAATTAATATGACCAGATGAATCCATAATATGATGGTAAATTCAAATCTGCCATCTCTGTTCAGTAAATATTTGGGTGCATTCAACCCAGGACTGCATGATTTTATGGCTGGCTTGACTTGCCTAGTGCAAACTGCTTGCACTCGCTGTATATTCATGAATCTCACAGTTACTGTTTGCAGCCCACTGAGGTAACGAGTCATATACATTTGCTTTCAATATGATATGATTTCACATTTGACATTTTCCTTTATTTCTGCTGCATATCATCTATACCAGTGCTGAAGAGGACGATTTAAAAGGAAAAGAAAAAACTGCCAAGTTATCATTAACTAAATTATAAAGGTATTCTCATATTGCCTTTTTCTAAAAATACTGCATTTTTGTGAGCGTGTGAGTTAATTTTTTTCTGTGTGACAAAGTGTTGTAATAGTCCTGGTATAGTGCATTAATTCATGCATCAAAGCAGCCTCTCAAATGTCACTGTAGTCAAGTGGAATTGTTTACGCTGCCTATGTTTTAGGCTTACTTTCTAAAAAAAGAAGAAGAAGAAGAAGAAAAGGAAAACAACAGAAACAAAACAAGTGAGCGCTTCAGTCATACACCAGTTCTAAGTTTGATCAACACCAATGTGAGATCCTCACATGCTCATGTGTCAGCTTTGTTTGGCATTGTACAAATTCCTTGTTTCAATTGTGAGCAATTTAATTATTAAATATAGCCTGTTTGAATTCAACGATCAGAAGATGCAATGTGGGCCTCTGTGCTTTATGCACACAACTAAAGGTTTACTCGAGTCAAACATCCTTCATTTCTTGATTTCTAAACTCATTTTGTAGTTGAAGACATTCAGAGTAATATATCACCAGCAGATATATTACTGTACACTCTGACAGCTTATCAGCCATACACACATTAGACCATCGATGGTTAGGTGTTAATACATTTTTTTGGTCTAATAAATAGCCAGTAGTCAAAGCGGTATTTCTGATTTATTAATAATAGATTGTGTGCCACAGAAAACATGTGATTTAACAGACAAAGACTGCTAAATGTAAATCAAAGGCATGAAACACGAGTGGTTAAGAGGAATAGTTCATGCCAAGTGGTATGGTTGTTCAGAAGCGGCATAATCTAGAATATAAATTTACAGTACTCAGTATGTGTTGCTTTTCAAGACTACCCACATTTTCACAGAGATGTACTGTAGTTCATTATTAGTGAAGGTGTGTGTGTTGTCATGTCTGATACTAACATGCATCTAACAAGCTACAGCTTAATGATTATGACTCATGAAGAGAAGCTGACTTTGTCCTTGAAGTGTTACCAAAATGTGATCGAAAAGACAAAGATTATTTTTGTATTTTGGAATGAGGTTGTACAAATTGTAAAATTGTGTTCTCCCCACTACAAATCAGAGGTTATTTGAAACTAGAAAACTGGTTTTCATCCATGTTTACATGGGACTCCCTGTCTTGCTCTAACTCTGACAGGCGAAGCTCATTCCGGATCATATTCAGATCATTTTTGGTTATTTTGCCATCATATTTTAGTTTTGAACCACTGCAGCCCAGATGGTACATAAAGTAATGACACCTCACCTTCCCACTGAGCTTTAGGTCACATTAAATTAAATTAAAATAAAATTAATACAAATTAAACAGAAAATCTGGGGGCTCCCAAAATGACACGATTGAGAACCATGGTTAAAAAGTACATTTGGGCAGAAAAGAAAACTAAAGGAATAATGTATGTTGCGGGTGATTTAGCCTCTGTAAATTCTAACTAATTCATCTGTTGATTTTATTTATGTTTTGTAACTAATCAAAATAAATGATGTCAAACATCAAATGACACCAGTGTATAGGAGGTTTATTTGTACCGTAAGTTCACTGGGCACGTGGGATGTTCATATATATGCTATATATATGTGTTATTATGATGATAAAACACAATAATCATTTGTAAAACAAGTAAAACCTGGGCTACATTGCCAATCAGAAGTTTTTTTCTTTAATTTCATGACTATTTACATTGTAGATTCCCACTGAAGGCCTCAAAACTGAATGAACAGATATGGAATTATGTAGTAAACAAAAAAGTGTAAAAAGTCAAAACATGTTTTATATTTTATTCTTCAAAATACCCACCCTTTCCTTTGATTACTGCACCCTCTTCACATTCTCTCACTTAGAGAAGCTCATTTAGAGAATGGTAAATGGTAAATGGCCTGTATTTGTACAGCGCTTTACTAGTCCTTGAGGACCCCAAATCGCTTTACATATCCAGTCATCCACCCATTCACACACTGGTGATGGCAAGCTACATTGTAGCCACAGCCACCCTGGGGCGCACTGACAGAGAAGGCCAAGGGTTTGCAGGGCTGTCAACAAAGCGAAGACTTGCTAATTTCAGGAATCTAAAATATAAAACATAATAGAATTATTTATCATTTTTTGTGCTACATATCTCCCATATGTCTTGCTTCATGTATTTGATGTTTTCGTTATTTATCTAGAAAAAACATTAAATGAGAAGGTGTATCCAAACTGCTAGTCTGACTGGCAGTGTATATATATCTGTTAGTGCCAGACGTTTTTCTCCATTCTCCAGAGGAGCCTCACAGATCACAGCAGCTAACACCACTTGACCTTCGGTGCATTCCTGACCTGGAATCGCTGTTAATCATAATGCCAGGATGTGAGAAAGAGTGCCAGGGAATAAAAACATTTTTCATAAATAAATTTCATAAGTGACGAAGGGCCTTAGGCAAATTAAAAAGAGAAAAAGATAATTGAATTATAAAATATATGTACACTTGAATCACAATCCTGATCACGACACTCCACCAGTTGCACTCATAGACCGATGTGTGTGGTTTGCATTTCTTAACACAGGTTCAATAAAATGACAACGTGAAAAATAATGACGTAAATACAAACTTTTTAAATTATAAAATCAGGTTACTGAATGTTGGCAATAATTATTTATTTTACTTGAAAAGAAATATCCGTTTCAAATTATAGTTTGTATTCTGACTGACATAAAGTGTGAAGGGAAAAGAGATTTAAAAAATTACAATTAAACGTTATGAGGGTGTGCAGTTATTTGACAAATCGTATGTACTCGCATGCTGATAATTATGTAGTACATTTCTGTTTCTATGAGATGACGGAAAAAATACATGTTTGCAGCGTCTCCTGACGCATAGAACTGAATTTCCGCACCGTAACGTAGTTTCCTGAACGCAACTCAATTTTTGACTGTCTACAACTTTATTGTCCCCGCCACGGCAGACAACGACGAACAACGGTCTGACGTTACTATCTTTGAAATGGCGTCGATGCAGTTAAATACGATGTTATTTGTTGTTGTTTTGTTAGTTTAGGTCGCTTCGTGCTACAATTTTCTGGTCCATTGTGAATTTCTGGACCTGGCCTTTATATTTGGGCATTACAAAGTTGATAAGCAAAAATGTGGTGAAGCAAATTGTTAATAATTTACGTTGCATAATAAGGCCGCAGCTAACCCCGAGCTTGCGTAGGGATTACAACGGCTTTTCAATAGTTGGCCCAGCCGCAGCTACATTTTGGTGAGTTGCTATCGTGGAAAGAAAAATCCAAACGTCTTAACCAGCAACAACGTTTTCCTGGCTGAAATATACTAGCTGCATCAGATACATATAAGGGTTCATTCACGCTTCGTAGCTACTTTTGCTTAAGTTAACATCTTGGCAAATAATTTTCTTCTCTAACTACATCGCTTGCTAACGCGGCTAACGTTAGCGTTAGCCTACTTGCTGTATGTATAAGTGCGTTGATAAAGCTAGCAGCACAACATTCACTATGCATAGAGTGTTTACAAACGGAGCTAACGTTAGCGTTAACAGCTGTTGAGCAGAAGCGATCTTGAATTTTCGTCCGGGATGAGTCTGAGCTTATCTGCAAAGATTAGTATTTGACCAATATGCACCGATGCTCATTAATTCATGTACCACCGAAACAAAATGCTGATCATTCAAGTAAACGACTAAACTTATTCGTTATGACGGGAACAGGATTTATATGTTGCTCTAATCAGCTCTCTACTAGCGAGTGTGTGGTCATTATGGTGAGCTGCTAACAAGTTTTGTTTTGTTTTTCTTTTTTTCCCTTTATTTTAACAGGTTTTCAAGTAAACCTCTGGACATGTGCATCAAGTAGAAGAATCAGAACGTGAAGTGACAGATTTCACCAGCCTTACCATTAATACATAAATAATAATTCCTTTTGTTGATTAATTAGTCTCTCCTCACTCGTTTCCATTAGATTTGAAAATATTTTACATAAATATCTTGCACAAACACACTGAACATGGCATCAGTGCCCGTGTATTGTCTGTGTCGTCTGCCATATGATGTGACACGCTTCATGATAGAGTGCGACATTTGTCAAGACTGGTTTCATGGAAGGTAGGATGTTTTCCTGCTTTGACCCACTTTATTAGATTTATGATGTGGTTACATCTGTTGTCTTCACTGTAAAATTTCTGTGTCTATATTGGGTAATGGAGCCATTCTTTGTTTTGATATAAGTATGCTTTTTGTGTAGCTGTGTTGGAGTAGAGGAAGACAAAGCGGCTGAGATTGACCTGTACCACTGCCCCAACTGTCAGGTCACTCATGGGCCTTCTGTTAGTAAGTTATCATTTCTTAAGTAAAACTCTCAGGGTTGGTGTTATTATTAGTTGACTTTTTCATAGAAATGTACAGGTTGAAAACTGTTTTCTCCATTTTCTTAGTGCGCAAACGCCGGGGAGGCAATAAGCAAGTAGATGGAGGTGCCACTGGAGGAAGAGACCCAAGTAAGCCTGTTAAGACAGGGAGCGCACAGTTTGTTAGGGAGCTACGGAGCCGAACCTTCCCAAAGTAAGTCTCACCTGCCATCCTGCTAAAACAAAAGTTTGAAGAAAATCATGGTTTGTAGTGTGTTTTTCACATTGTAAGAACTTAATGTACTATTGCTGTTATAATATCCTGGCAACTAATTTCTTAGTCAACTAAACAAAGAAAAAAATGTTGCACATAGTACTCCAAACACACAAGAAGAAGAAAAACACTTAAACCAATGTTAAATATGATATGAAAACGTTACTTCAAAACATGTTCACGTTTTATTAAAATGTAACAAATTAACATTCGAAAAACAAATAAACAGCGACTGAAAAGTGTGATAGACTGTGCCGTGCATAATGAATTCCCTGGCCATCCAATAGATGTAATCTCTCCAGCGTGTTCCAGGTCTACTCCGGGGCCTCCTCTCGGTAGGACATGGCCGGCCAGAACACCTTACCCTAGAGAAGCTCGCCTTAACTGGCTCCTTTCAATGTGGAGGAGGAGCAGCTCTACTCTTAGCCCCTCCCAAATGAACTCCTCACCTTATCGCTGAGGAAAAGCCTTTGCACACCTATGAGAAAGCTCATTTTCGCAGCTTATTCTCACCTTTATATAACTAGAAATAATAGTGTTGACAAAAAAAATCAGGCAAAGATGAACAGTTTAATGACGATGCTCCATCGGGTGGCAGATGGCTGCATAACATTTAGGACACAACAGTTTACCAGCATTTAAAATGTAAAACAATTAGATAGTAGGGCTGGGCCATATCATACTGTTCACGGTAATACCGGTATAATGTTGGGCAATAATAAAAAATGAAATATTGCGATAGAATATGGGTAAAATGCGCATGCGCAGTGCCTTTGTTTTCATACGCACATTGCGGAAAAAGCATGGCGGCGACAGAGAATGAGAAGGGCGAAAGCGGATCGTTGAATGAAACGGATGAACCAGAATTGGTTTGTAAAAAATGCTGCAGCTTCAGTGATGTGGAACTGGTTTGGCTTTCGTCCGTCAGATAAACAACAAAGCATTATTTTTGGTAGAGCATGCTAGCAGGCCGTCGTTGTTACTGTGTTTTTTGGAAAATACGGCACACTTAAAATCAATCCTTTGATTTTTCTGAAAATCGACAGTGCCCCTTATAATCCTGTGTGCCTTATGTATGAATCCTGGTTGTGTTTACTGACCTCGAAACGAGTTTATGTACACGGTGCTCGAAAATCTGTCAAATGTTTTAGTACGACTTTGCTAAGCTACAAACCCGCACCGCTTGATGGATTGTAGGAGCATTATGGCTATCGTAGGCAGGCGCCTCGCGGAGTGATACGTACTGTGCTTCAACAAAATGTTACCGTATTGTGTGTGTATAACCTCTTTTTAAGTTTTGTGGATATTATACATGGTTATGCTGAGGATATGTTGGCCAGTTTCCACTGGAAATGCCTTTTGGTTAAACTGTCAGCGAGGAGTTTGCACTGTTACAATTTTATATAACTTTAATGCACATAAACAGCTGCTTGTTTAAGTGAAAATACATTGGGGGTTTTTTTTGCACTAATAAAGTTGTGGAGTTGTAAAGTATTTTGTCTCGTGTCAATTATATCGTCAGTTATATCGTTATCGCAAATTTTCAAATGTATATCGTGATAAATATTTTTGGTCATATCGCCCTGCTCTATTAGATAGATTATAGTGACAGTTAGTTGTCTGGTTGACTAGTTGCTAACATCCCAAATACATTGCTATTAAAGTTGATTGCATTACATTCTACTAGTCTTTATCTAACACTGGTCTTGAAACCGGTTGGTGAACCAGTAACACCGACTACTGACTGAATAAATATTATAATTTCAGGAATTTAGTGGTTGCTGGTTTTTGCAAGGACTTTAGGTTGCCAGCCAGTCGCTAGTCCTCTGTGTATGTGTGTGTGTTAGTAAGGGAGACTGGTGTTATAGTTATTGCTGCTTACTCCATGTGTCACTATTTTAGTTAGCATCCTGGGTTTTTGATCTTTAATGTAATAACACTGTAAATCACTCTGTCCTATTATTGTTTTTGTTTTTTTTCTTGTGATCAGAGTGAAAATGTACTTTTTGTTTTTCTGTGACAGTG